GCATGGGAATTCTAGGAAAACCAGGGAGTTAAGTGAGAAGGATTGAGAGATGGGAAATAGTGTTAGGACTTAGTTGTGATTCGGGAGAAGTTCGAGGTTTCTTTTGCAAAGTTGTCGACACGCGCGGGATTTTCTCGCCGTGGGCCGTCTCTACGTGGGCCGGCCTCACGTGGGCTGCGCCTGTGGGCCGCTGCGCGCGCGCGCTCTGTGTCGCGTGGGCCGCGAGGGAGAATTCGCTTCTCTTTTTCATAAGGATTAGAAATAGTTTTCTAATTTAAGTTTTGAGTTGATCTTTGATAAATCATATAAAATCATGTAGGTGTCCAAAAATTATAAAACAAATTTTGTTAGTTTTCTAAAATTGTGCTCTATCTGTTAGTGTATTTAGTTCATATATATACATGTTGATATTAGGAGCTATTAAAATTTTTGAGAGTGCTCAATATTATTAGGTTAAATATCGTAGGAATTTTTGTGGTAAATTGGTGATAGCTTTAGTCCTAAAATTTTTATGGTAACTTAATTGTATTATTATGTGCTCACTATAATTTTTGTTTCTTTAGAATAGACTAAGCATTAGGGTAGTTAAATGCTCTTTGTTTCAAATATGCACTAAATCATTAGTAGAAATAAATATATATCCTTTATTTGTAAAGCTAGGTGTTCGTTAGTTGAACCCAATACTTTACTTGGTAAAGATGATAGTTAGCTTAGTACCTTAGTCATTAGAGCTAGCTTAGTGGCTTAGTATGCGCATTCTTAGTTTAGGCGTTGATGTTGCTTAAATGCTAAGTGTTGCATCATCATCGTATGTATGTAGAGAACGAGTTGGTAGAGATCGTGACCACCGACAATCATGAGTTCGAGGAGATTGTCGAGGACTACGAGGAGGAGATTCTCGTACAGGAGGAGGTCCTAGAGCCACCACTAACTGACTCAGCTGACACCACGCCTGCCTAAGGCAAGCCCCGGTGCATAACCCCTTATTTTTGGATAATCACTGTTTATATATGTTATGTGCATTTACGTTACAAGAATTTTATAAAAACCACATGCATAGATATACCTGTCCTAAGAGTCTTTCTAGTGCAGGTTCGAGTAGCTGTTATGCTTAGGTTTTCGGTAGCGTGAGTAACCTGTCGTTACTCACAATAGCCGGAACACTGTTTTCCTTGTTCGTATCGATTAAGGATCGTCCGTTGCTGTGAATGATAGTCAGGTCATAGACTTATTATCCTGAGCACATACTTGCTTATGGAAGCGGGAAGGCTCGTTATGCTCTTGTCGTGGGTTCCGGCTCTTTCTGAACCGACTGATTGGAGGAGGAAAAGGTGGAGGTCTAAGCACCATACTAAGACCGTGTCTCAAGTGTGGGGGCTTAGAGTCTAAGTTTGGACGGAGACCTAGACCCTGTGAGAGGAGTGGAATGGGTTGGTCTTGTTTGTGTCTGGGGTACAGACAGGACGTGTGTTTCGGGATACCCAGCTGGGATACATTGGTTCGTGAATCGCCATTTTCGTGAGACGATACGACTTGGCTATGGTCTAGCACCGTAGTAAGAACTGAAAGATGAAAAATGATGAAATGATTCTGATTGCTAAACCCTTACTTGAAAGTAGAACAGATGCTTCTAGAATAGTTAGCTAATGAAGTAAACATGATTACTAATTAAACTTGATCTTAAGGACGTACTTCTAGTAATGCTTTTCGCAAATAAAAGAAAACAGCAAACCCATATTACCTAGCATACTCCTTGAGAGTTGGGAAACTATTCCCACTAGTTGGTTAAGTCTTACAAGTACATTGTATACTTAAGGTTTATTTTACCCCTATTGTAGGTGCGGCTTGAGGAGTAGCTCTTGTGTGGAGGATTCTTCTAGTGGACACACATGGATCCTTGTATTGTTTTCGCTAGATGTTTATTTTTATTCCGCTGTTTAATTATCGCACTCTGAACTCTGGTACTATAATAAATATTTTTTAAGAACTCTTGTTGTATAAAATGGACTGAGTATTATAAGCTCGTACTCATTATTGAATTCTGTATGTAAAACGTGGATTGTTTCAAGTTCTTCCTTAGGGTGTGCTCAATGGAACTATCCGATGTAGCTCACTTCCAAGGTGCTTAATGTCTAATGGAAGACGAGCGCCTCCGAAAGCGTGTTATTTCGAATGGTTCTGCCACAACTGGTTTCCAGCTAAGCTAAGGACTTGTTTGACATCTAAAGATTATTGTTTTGGATACAGGCACCACGTGAATGCTTCACCTACTGTCAGGCTCGGGGACTAAGTGGGCACACCTCACCTTGCGGTAAATATGCTTATTTCTAGGACCCGACACACTTTGACACGACTAAGTCGTTGATGATGATCGTCGCTGCTCTCCGTTTGGTTCTAAGAGTCAAATTTTGCCTAAGGCATCGATGCTAAGCATCTCTCTTCGCTCCTGAGGGACTAAGTTTCTCCGCGCTAACTAAGTCAGAGACGCTCAGCGTCCAACTTCACCATTTGAAACCTAAGTGGACACACTTCATTTAAGATGGAGACTTCAAAACTTTTTTACTTGAGCCCCTTAGATCCTTTTGACAAACCTCAACTTCGAGTGAGTCGGATTTTCATCGACCAGTCCAACTGCTCGGACATCCGCTTCAATAGCTCGGACATTCAATTCAACAGTTCGGCTCCCAGTTAAACTGGTCGACGCCTGCTCTTGGTGATCAGCAGCAAGTTGGACAGCCTGGACAAGCTCAAGACGGTGTTGCTCAACGGATATAAGGCGCTCGGAGACTAGCTGTGGGGGTATAACCTCCGGTACCCACAAGATAAGACATGGGCTGCGCCACCAGAGGTGGCCCAGCCCAGAAGATCAAAGCGTACAACGCACGACACTGCTCGGTGTGCACCGCAAGGCTACGAGATGTGATTTATTAGACATTGTAATACCAAATAGAATATTTTTCTTGTAACCCTATCCCTCTAAAGTATATAAGGAGAGGTAGGGGTCTCCTAATGGACATCCTGATATGAATCCTAAGTTTAGCCTAAAGTATCTGATCTCTCATAATACAATCCACAAAGACACATGACGTAGGGTGTTACGTCAAGCTGATGGCCTGAACCTGTCTAATCGCTGTCTCTTGCGTTCTGTGTCACCCTCGCGCGCACCTCCACCGATTCATCTACTATCGTAGGCATACCCCCGATAGACTGTCGGACGTATTTCATCGACACCTTTCCTTAGGGCTCTTTTAAAAGAAGGGGGAGCAAAACCCAAGGATGGAAAACCTCTCACTAAGAACTAGAATGATAATTAGAATGATATCCCCATGGATTATTCAGCCAGAGAAAAATTCCGGATCCTGGAGGAATTGGAGTTTCCAAATTAGGCATCAGCGACACGCCCAAGGCGATAAGAGCCTCGAGTTCCGCCGCTTCTGTCCGTTACCATGATTGGTTGTTTCAGTTACTGCGATGATTGTTTGGGACGGCTGGTATTGCTACCTGCAATTTCCACTTGACCGAAACGGTTCGTCTCCCTGTGGCGGCGTGGTGGTGGTAGGGGTTCGGAATTGAGATTGTGAAGCAGATTTATTTCTGATGTGTTGTTCCTGCACAGCAGGGATATCGAAGCAAAATAGTTGCTTCATTTGGTTATGCGTTGCTGCGGGCAAGATGAACAAAGGAAACTCCACGACAGTTTGGCAACAAGCAATCTAAGTATGACAAAAATATGTGCATTGCTCTAGTGGAAAACCATGTGACACTTCGGACAGCTTGTGGCCAAACTTTTAGGGCGGCCTCAATGGCTGTCGACTTCGATAGCTGCGCATGGATCTTACCCAATGAGAGAGAGAGATTAAGTAAAACCACCGCGCTAGCGACTCTTCAATAGCCTATCTCGCACCACGAAACGTTTTGTGTCTTTGACATATGCACATACTCTGAGCACTCCACAGCTTTATCTTTAGGGCCTGTTCGGTTAGTATTAAAACCAGCTGATAAGCTGACTGAAGCTGTTTTGTTATGAGAGAAAAATACTGTAGATTCTAGCTGATAAGTCGGCTGATAAGTTTAAACAAATAGGCCCAATTAAGCCTCCACGTCAGCCAACTATTTGTGCATGACGCCCTTATAGCTTTGGACAATAATAATATTGACTTTAATAGTAAGGGATTGTGAGGAATCCAAAATGCAACTTTATAATCGTGATTGCGGGAGTAACTAGTCTAGTGATAGGATCCAGTTATTTCCATTCAAAACGTTTTAGTTACCAGGGCTCTAATGCCCTCTTGAACTAATTCAGCAATACTTTTCAGCGAACGAATAATGTTTTTTTTGTCACAGCAAAATGTAAAATCTTGTAGTTTTTGAAATATATTATGAAAAACGCATGTACACATGGAGTTAAAGAAACTTGTGAAGTTTCAATTTATCGTCTGATCGGTGGTCTTACGACTAGCTTGAATGTAGCAGCTGTGGAGCTCCGGCGAGATCTAGCGTGCACGCGGCCTCCCCCTCTTTCCCCTTCCCACCTCCCGCCGTCACCATGGCCATGGACGCCCCTGCCCTGACCTGACTCGACCACCTTCGCCTCCGTTGGAAACCTGACGTCGCCCTCCCGCTGTTCTCATTGCTTGGCCGCCCTGCCTCCTCCGAGCCCCCTCTTTTAAGGCGCTGGATTTAGAAAAGAAGAGAGGAGGAGGGCGAACATGAAGAAGAGAAAAATGGAGCGTTGGATTGCTAAACATTGGCCACGTTCACTGATCTGGTCTGGCTGACCAGCCAGCTCCTCCTCCTCACGACAACCAGCCAATTTCAGCCGCTACAGTGAGTTTCGTGGGGCCATTGTCGTATAACTATAAAACAATTCGAAAAGGTCATTTCTTTCGCAGCTTCGCCCTCCCCATTCCCCGGTTCACGTCTTCGTTCCATTTCCACGTTTCCGATCAGCCCCAATGCCCTCCAAACCCTAGTCCACAGCCCCTGTCCCCTGAGCGGCCATGCAGGATCTGAGCACCGGCTACCTCCCTCCCTTCCCTGGACTCTCCCTCGACGCGGGCGCCCTCGCCGTCGACCACGCCGGGGATGCTGCCGCCGCCGCCTCGGCCGATGCGGCGCCCGCGTACGCGTCTTCGTCCGCCACTGTGGGCGGCGCCGGCGACGACCTCATTATCCCAGCGGAATGCCGGTGGAGGGGCCGTGTCCGCACCTTCGACATGGCGGGCGCGGGCGAGGGCGCTGTGACCGCTTGCCCCGCCGCGCGGCGCGGCGGTGGGAAGAACCTGTCCTTGATTCCGTCACCCGAGCCGGCGCGGACGCAGGCTTCAGCATCGGCTCCGACGCTCGAGGAACGCGTGAGCGAGTGGGCGGCTAAGAAGGCAGCGGCCGGTGTTCCGGCTCACCACTGCGTGCTGCCTTTCCTCACCGGGGCGCCAAGGGCGGTAAGGATTTTGGCTCGAAGCGCTTCGCGTTGATGACCAATGTTTGCTTTCCTTACTTCGAATTCCCGTGTAACTCGACTCTTATGTCTGGGCGGATCAAGCAAAATGCAGCTGGTAATGAGTTTGTGCAATTCAGGTCGATCCGGGAAATTCTTTAGCATTGTGGCAACAACTGTACCTGCACTTGAGCTATGAGTATAGGAACTCATCATGTGTGTTCGTCGCACATTTCACTCCCATTAATCACTTATTTTGAGACTTAAGACACTATGTACAGTTTGCAATCATTTTTTTCTTCTTTACCTTGGATGGTGGCATACTTTTAATTATGTACATTAGGCACATGAAAATAGTGCTAGTATATTTGTCATTAAAATGCTATAATGTTTATTTATTTTTAATAGATTTACATCTCTGTCAGGATGATATCTATTGCTCTGTTTCCTCCAAGAGTAAGAGGTTATGAAAAGCCACACAATTCAAAAGAGTTTTAGCGAGGGACTAGGGAGTAGAAACCATGTGGGTTAACATTGCCTATCTGCCTTTAGTCCGAAGCAAGCTGGGGTTGGCTAAATATGGAACCCAATGATAGCCAAAAATATAGAAGATATGTTGTTTACCAGGGTTCTAGTGTCCCCACCAGCAAAAATACTACTATTGCAAAATGTTATGATTTTTTAATATATTCTAAAAACTCATGTGCATAGTACATGGAGTTAAAGAAACTTGAAATAACTTCAATTTCAAATTAATATTTAGCTGGCTAACAGTTAACTTATTTCTATATGTAGTACATACATGATTTATTTTGTAAGATCCAACATACTTAATCTGTTAACGGAAACGATCCCCTTGATACAAAGTATGCAACCTTTTTATAAAGTTTTCCACCTTTGAATTGCTTTGTCTCCATTCCATAACTTTAAAACTCATTGTCCTTGGTACTGTCTATCAGTTAAAATTTGAAGCTGCTGTTAATCATGAAGTTGTTCCGCTGTCACAAATATAGGTTGTTTAGGACATTGGTACTATCTATAATGTGAAACTTTGACTGTCAATTTATATTAAAATTTGATACACAACATAAACGCGATTGTATGTATGAAAGTACCTTTCATGATGAATCTACTGGCATCAATCTTACTTTGTTAATCTATCTAATTTTTATTATATTGATGGTTAAAGTGAAAATTTTGATTATTAGGAATCCTAAAATGACTATAACTGTTATCAGTGTTAGTAATTAGTCTTGTTTGTTGACTTAGGAAGTTAGGAACTTAGGATCCAGTTTTTTCCCCCTTTCATCTGCTTAGCATCTAATACCTTCTTCATTTATGAAAGGTCGAATGCCGTTTATGCTCCAAGATTATTTATGCTGGAGAAGAAATAAAATGTTCAGTTAAGAAATGTCCACTGATGTTCCATCTCAACTGTGTTGTGAAAGATACTTCAAACTTCACCGCTGAAAGCTTCAGGTGCCCTCAACATGTAAGTGTTGGAATTAATTTATTTTCTTGAGATGAGAAAAAGTAAATTGATTAGTGGATGCTACACAATTGCAAGATTTAATGGTCCGAAGGTAAGGAATGCAGAGTCCATTGTAAATATCATAACCGTGACAAGAATAGAGATTTTTCTGCAATAAACTTGGGGTCTGATATTGCAGGCATGAAAATTTGTTTAGTAGATAGTCAATGGTTAGGATACAAACCTGTATTTTGTTTTTCAGGTCATGTTGTATTTCAGTTCCTGTGCTTGGACTGGTTCCATTGCTTGATCATTAAGGACATCATTTAATTTTCTGTCCCCCATTAGGGTTGTATGATTTGTAAGCAAAAGATGTTCTTTTGGTGCTGCGGACGTTGTACAGTTGCAGCACATACGAAATGTGCACCATGGCCAGTGGTTCATCTAAAAGATAATCAAGGAAGTGCAATTTGCTGGAGGCATAATTCTGATTGGCTGCTGCAAAATGAGGTCTATCCTTTTTCCCTTAAAATTGGTCACTTCATGTTGTCATTATATGAAATAGGTAATAAGAGCTTATCTAGTTTAATTTAATAAATAGACAAGTAGGAAACTCTCTAGTATAATTACTAAAAAGATCATATGCATCTGGTCATTGTCTTTTTTTATGCCCAGTGCGGATTCCTCCATTAATTTCAACTACTCCCTCTGTCCCAAAATAGAAGTCGTTCTCGCTTCTCGAGAAGTCAACTTTTTTTAACTTTGACCAATTATATATAAAAGAATATTAATATTTATTTTATATAATTAGTATCATTAGATAGATAGTTGAATATACTTTCATAATAAACTTATTTGGAGATATAAATGTTGCAAGCATTTTCTACAAACTTAGCCAAAGTTAAGAAAGTTTGACCTGCACGCATCCCATGACGACAGCGGCGGAGTGTGAAGCTAAATAAAGAAGGGGCGAGCTACAACTCTCACATACACTTCAGCTGGAGTGTCGCTAGCTCATCTTACTTCTACACGTCTGACACAGGACCTGCAGTGGCCAGCACATGGAGGAAGGGGGGGGCAAGCACCCAGCTTCGCCTCCACTGCCCTCCGCCAGTGCATAACGACTTTCTTTCTGGGACGGAAGGAGTATCTTTTTGTTTCATCTTTAGAGCTTTGGAAGATTAATACTTAATAAGAATAAGTTACCTCTGAGGTTTAGCTAGGACAATTTTATTACAATGCATCCCACACGCCCTTTTGTTAATATTTTTGTAATGGTTGAGGTGCCTGACAGGAATACTTTGTTTGCTGGTGACAGAATGCTGACTTTACCAACAGTATAGAGGTGAGTGCATGCGTGACACAATTGTACCTTTGCTATCTTTTCTTATATGATATTTCATGTGACATAATTCATGGGCTATTTTTTACTTAGCTAATCTGAAGTACTTAGTGACTAGAATGGAATGCTTGGTAAAATAAATATTTGATGAGGAACATGGTTAAGTTTCTGATGATGTAAAGCCTCAGGAAAAAGAAATTCATTGACTTGTCTTCCTTTGTCTTGTAGCTGTAAGCCCTGCTTCCCAGGCACATTTAGTGTATTTAAGTTTTTAGTTAATCTATGTCATTAAGTCCTTGGGTAGCCCAAGAGTTGTGCGGGTACCCAGGCAGATATTCTGTCTAGTTAAAGCTCTAGTGAGCTGTATGTAATCAATGCAGTACTTATCCTCTATATATTGCAATGCAGTCGCCTGGGAGAGTTGCCCTGGCTGATTATTTCTCTGTTAACTCCAACATGTCTAGTATCACTGTCTCATCCAGATGAAGTACATTTCCTTCGCAGTTTATATTGATGGCTACACTACATGTTTATTTTATAGGAAGTGTTCTGCCGGCTACCTCTTCCATATGTTAACGAAGACTTAAATATTGAGTCAACCATTGAGGAATATGCTGAGGCTGTTTACAAGCCACCCCCCTATACATCTATCAGGCGGAGTATCCTAAAGCATAACGTTTTACTAAATGATTTCTATGTTTCTGCAGCTGTGTAGTTAGATTAGCCTTGTGTTTGTCTGCTTTTCATTCCAATATAAGTACATCATGGTTATTTCCTTAATTTGTAAAAGATGTATATCTGATAAAAAAGAAGCGCACTGGTGTTCGTGTGGATATTGGGTGCACAAACTGCAGGGCTGATTCTACTTGCAAAGAAGACTGTGAATGCAGGTGTTCTTTCTTACTCTGTTGAAACATGCCAAAGACATGTGAATATTGTGCAAAACTATGCGAACGGGCCTCTAGCTGAGTTTGTTAGGTGGCTCTAGTAGGCTAGTACCACTCCTCAGGTCCTGGGTCCGACTCCTTGTGGCGAATTTCAGGCTGGGGTTATAAAATCCCCTCGTTTGTCGCACGCCAAAGCACAGGTCTTTAGTTCCAGCCTAGTTTGTGGTTCTCAAATGTGCTATGGTGCCGCTGTGTATGGCAGGGGTTTGTGTGTGTGTGTGTGGGGGGGGGGTCTCGACCTGCGTGAGAAGGCCGTCTTCTTAGCAAAATGCCCGAGGGTTAGCCCCCACAGGTCAATTTTTTTTTTTTCTGTTGTGCAAAACTGTCTTTTAAATGTGGAACTGAATCATATTAGCAAAAGAGAAAGCATAAACATGTGCCATCTTTTTTATATCAACACTACAGTGCTACAGAGCTGAATTGAATTAAATATGTAGTATATACTGTTGTTTTTCCCATAAAGTGCACTTATATCGTTTAGGTATTGGGTTGCAAGAAACTTGCACAAAATCCACATGTCATTTCTAATATACTGTTACTGTATGCTGGTTGGTACCTTGTGTTTTGTGGGAAGTCTTGGCATATAAACTGTTTAAATGATAGCACTTTAGAGCATGCTCACTCCCATGTGCCATGCTATTAAGACTATGCTAAGGCGGTTTGGAACATATGATTATCACTGGAGGATGAGGATTTTCCATACCATATAAATGAGCACTATTTGAGCGTTTGAAACATCATAGTCACTAAAAGAATTTCACTAGATATGGTTCCTTTCTCCTCGATTTTGGAGGTATTCAACAGTAATCTGAACCTTCATTCCGACATCGTTTACCATCTTACTGATTTAAGATCACGGCAATATATCCTGCTACCCACAATTTCTGTGTGGTATTAACCCCATGGTTTTCACTTCACTTGGACTACTATAGTATTCTTGGGCCTAAGTTTAAACGTTTGAATACAGTGCCATATTAGCTGAACAGTGACGCTGCTAGTTGTGCATATTATGGATGCTTGCACTCATGTATTGCTAATATTTGATGAAGAAGTTAGCATAATCCTTTCTAAAGTTATGTATGATGTATATAGAATCCATACATGTTTACTTTCCTCCAACATGATTGTTTAAATTTATTTTTTGACTTATCAGGGGTCTTTCTACGAGTTGTTCCAAGAATTGTCGCTGCTCAGATCTATGTAAAAACAGGCCATTCCGCAAGGATAAGAAAATTAAAATTGTGAAGGTAGCTTTCTTGTCAATGATGTTCTTACTTGATTTTTCTAGGAACTTATGTGCACCAATGTATTCACTCCTTATTTTATTTATGCGCATAATAGTGTTGCATGTTTTGATGTTACTTACAGTTTCCAAAATTTTCAAGTTGTAAGTTATTTCTTTCTAAAGACTCAAGAGTTTATGCATTGTTGTGTAATGTTTGAAACACTAATTTAAAAGGTCATATGCTGTGTTACCGTTACCTTAGGTATCAGGCTCCTAGCTAGTGCAAGATCCAATATATATTTTAAACATTGCTCAATGCATCAAGGATCGGGAAGTTTGGATCCAACCCCTTAAGATTAAGTACAAAATCCCCTCATCTAACATGGTCTAAGGTTTCTTATTTTTTCTTACACCAACATGAGAGCTGCCTGTCACTATATTAAGGAGAAAGAAAGTACAAAACAGCCTGACAAAGCAAAACGCAAACCATACGCACTATAAAGAAAACAACATACTCCAATGAGAAAGAAAGCCAGATGAGGAATTTCCCCCGTTGAGGCACCCAAGATTTCCACAACCTGTCGTACTGTTCAAATCCTATGCATCCATGGAAAATAAGCCTAGCAGTCTAGACTTGTCCCCTTCACCTCCTAGCACTGCTCCACCTCGCCATCTCGATCATAAGGTCCCACATCTGCAGGTACTGCTCAAGGACACGGATTGTGATGGTTCCCCTGAGATCCCCCACTCTGCTTGGCTCACAATGCACCCAGCAATATGCTTAGGCACCAAGACCAAGCCGAATACGTCCAGTGCCAATTCCACACCCCGTTTGGCAATGGGTAAAATCCGCGCGGATACAAGTATCACAAACCCGCACCCGCGAGATTATTTTGGCGCCCGTGCCCGCGCCCGCCACCCGCCATGGGCGGCACTTTGCGCCCGCTATCTACCGGCATGCCCGCATACCCGCCAGAAGATCTTGCACTACGGGGAAGACGCCGTCGGCCTGTGGGGCGGAGACGGCATCCTGCTCGGCCAGACAGCGGCCGGTGGGGTCAGAGCAGGGAGGCCGGCGTGGTCAGAGCAGGAGGCGTCGGATTAACAGGGAGTGGAAGAACAGCGTCGGAGGACAGAGCAGGAGGCGTCGGGGAGAGGAGGGGCGCAGATTAAGCACATAAGTGGCGGTAGCAAGCGCCTCAGCCCAGAAAGCCGGTGGCATGGAAGCGTGAAGGAGTAGGGTGCGGATGGTGTTGTTAATGGTGCGAAGTATACTCTCAACGAGAGGTGTAGGGGCAAGAAAGGCGAAGCAAAATGCCGCGACTGGACAAGAAGTCAGACATGGTGTTATTGACAAACTCAGTGCCATTGTCTGCCTGAAAGCACTTGGGAACAGAGCCAAAGCAACAAAATCAACTAGGTGACCATGGACTTCGGATTTTTGATGCAGCGGAAAGGTCCAACAAAAATGAGTGAATTCATCTAGCATGACCAAATAATACTTACAACCAGAATTACTCAAAACCGGAGAAGTCCAGACATTGCAATGAACAATTTCAAAGGGCGTCGATGTGGTGGAGGAAGCACGAGTAAAGGGCAGGCATGTGTGTTTGCCTAGCTGACATGCATGACACAAAGAGTTATCTGGCTTATTGCAGGAGATGGCCGACATATTCTGTAGGGTGTGGACAGCATTAAGACTAGGATGGCCGAGGCGGCAATTCCACAAGGCTGTCGACAAGGCAAGGTTGGCATGGGCAGCGGCAAGGCCAGGCATAGTTGGGAAAGTGTATAGGTCACCAGCGCTGTTGCAGCGATGGATCACTTGCCCAGTGTGGAGGTTTTTAATGGAGAAGCCCAGAGCATCAAACTCGACAAAACAATGGTTGTCGCGGATGAATTGACGAACCGAAAAGAGGAGGTGCACTAGAGCAGGGGCAACGAGAACGTTGTTAAGAGAAAATTAAGCGTTGGCTGTGGGAAGTGTGGAAGTGCCACGACCGAGGACGGGAATGGATTGGCCATTGCCCACAATTATAAAGGGAGAAGAGGGAGGGAGACGAGTGAGCAATATACCATCCGAGGAGGACATATGTGATGTAGCACCAGTGTCGAGCACCCAAGTTATGGGCACCCTGAGAGGCTTTGGACGGCGTGGGGCCAACCTGCGGGGTACATAGCAGATACGAGCCTGTGTGGGTGTGAAGGCCGCAAGAGTCTGCGGTGCCGGCCCAAGAATGTTGTGGCTGCGCCAGGCCGGATGCAGCTGCTGGCGAGGCAGAGGACCAGAGGTAGAGGGAGCAGTCAACATTGTGGGAGATGGGTGCGACGTGCAGGGGAAGCAGACGCGCGCGGGAGACAGACTGCTCACGGCGAGGAGAGCGGGAGCGCAGAGCACGCCGCGCGGGCGTGGAAGGGGTGCAGACCGTGCCTTGGAAGGAAAGGAAAGAGTGGGCGCGGGGGCACAACAGAACTGCTTGTGCAGCGCGGATCGCACACAGGGGACGAGAGCGCGTGTGGGAAAGCAGGGGAGCCGTGCAGCGCGGGTGGGGTGGAGGCGCGCGGCTGAGGGGCCGCGTGCGCAAAGGACGCGAGCGGATGCGCGCAGCAATGGAGGGGAGGGAGAAGTGGCGCGTGCGAAGGAAGACGTCAGCGCGCGCTGGAGACGGCAGTGTGCAGCAGAGAACGCGGAGGAGAGGACGACCGTGCGGGCAGAGAAGCAGAGGAAGAGTGGTGGGAGGGGCTAGAGCAGCGTCCAGAAGGTAACTTGGGCTTGGTGTGGTCGAGGAATGACGGCGCAGGAGAGGGGAGGTCGCGGACGAGGCCGCAAGGTGAGGTGGACGCGCTGCCTGGGAATCGGCGGCGCTGGAGAGAGGCTAGAGCAGGGGGCACGCAGCCAGGGGTTGACTGCGGGGTGGAGGAGAGGAACTAGGGTAGAGGCAGGAAGAGAACCTGAGCGGTTGATACCAACACCTCACACCCATTAGGGAGGGGTGACTTTTCTATATATAGCCACAAGGCCTTCAGTACATGTACAATCAGACCACTAGATATATACATCAGCAGTACATTTGATGTTACTTACAGTTTCCAAAATTTTCAAGTTGTAAGTTCTTTCTTTCTCAAGACTGAAGAGTTTATGCATTGTCACGTAATCTTTGAAACACTGATTTATTTAGGTGTTCTATTAAAAGGTCATATGCAGTGTTACCGTTATCTTAGGTACCAGGCTCTAGTGCAAGATCTAATATATTTTTTAAATATTGCTCAATGCATCAAGGATCGGGAAGTGTGGATTCAACCTCTTAAGATTAAGTACAAAATCCCCTTATCCAACATGCTCTAAGGTTTCTTTTTTTTGTTACACCGACATGAGTGCTGCCTGTCACTATATTAAGGAGAAAGAAAGTACAAAACAGCCTGGAGAAATCCAACAAAGCAAAACACAAACCATACACACTAAAAAGAAAACAACATACTCCAAGGAGAAAGAAAGCCATATGAGGAATTTCCCCCATTGAGGCACCCAAGATTTCCACAACCTCTCCCACTGTTCAAATCCTACGCATCCATGGAGAATAAGCCTAGCAGTCCAGACACGGATTGTCCCCTTCATCTCCTAGCGCAGCTCCACCTCGGTCATAAGGTCCCACATCTGCAGGTACTGCTCAAGGACACGGATTGTGATGGTTCCCCTGAGATCCCCACTCTGCTTGGCTCACAGTGCACCCAGCAATACGCTTAGGCACCAAGCCGAATGGTCCGGTGCCAATTCCTTGATCACACCCCGTTTGGATGTTGGAATTCGGCTTGGAATCGAGGAATTGGAATTGTATATCTTCAATACCACAAGCTTGGATGTTTTAGAATTGGATCTTGGAATTTGACTCCCAATTCCACACGGTATTCTAACACCACAGAACAGCATGCTCCCAATACAGACCTATGGAGCTCGGTATTGGCTGGAATCGATGCCGCCACTAGAGAGCTCCACTCCAAGGTGACTGCTGACAGGGACCCCGTGGGTAGGCTCCCATCGCTGTTTCACCCTCTCATACGGGGGTTGCGCGGCGCGGAGGGGGTGGGGCTCGCAGCCACGGAGAGGAGCAGCGGAGGGGGGCAGGGGCAGGGGTTGCCGACACATGGTAGGGGTTGAGCCGGGGCGTGGAGGGCCTTGCCGGCTAAGAGGAAGATGAGGTATGGATCCAGTTTCTGATTCTCGAGTGGCAATTTAAAGAGACCGCGTGGAAACTGAATTGCAGTCCATTACCATTTCAGCATGTCATTGATTTGGAAACTCAATTCTGCTGACCAATTCCATTGCCAACATCCAGACCGAGCGAGGGATTTTCCCAAAAGCCAATGGTCCGTCCAAAATCTGTGGAGTTACCATTGCCAATTCGGTGCTGACCTAGATAGAAAGCAGAGCTGAGGACTGGTGAAAGTGGTTGCAGTAACCCCCCCGCCTCTGCGACCTTGGCAAGGACCAAACTGATGACATCCATAACTAGAATGAAAAACAATGGGGAAAGAGGATCACCTTGACTCAAACCATGATGATGATCCTGTACCTTTGGTTTCTTACCTTCTACTGCTGCCAAAGTACACCCTGTCCATTCAAACCTGAATATCCTTTTGTATTTATTTTTGGATGCGAAAACATGTGCCATTAATAGTGTGCTCTGTGAAATTGACCTGGCATCATGTGTGATAGAGGTCACATTGGTCAGTGAAACAAAAGAATTAGACACCTCACACCTGCAAGTTTGCACCTCCATCTGGGCAGTAGAGCTGACCTGCTTCAGCGAGAGTGATTATTTTTCTGAGAGTTGGGTATTACTTGTGCATTTTACTTGCTCAAAGATGGCTTTATTTTATTTTATTATGACCATAGCAACACTTTTCCTTTACAGACAAAGCGATGTGGATGGGGTGCTGTTGCGTTGGAGCCATTGGAGAGAGGTGATTTTGTAATCGAGTATGTTGGTGAAGGTAAAACTGTTTTTCATGTTATTATTATTTTTGGAAATAGACCAGCAGAAATAGCAAGGTCTTGGTAGATGACCTTCTGCATACCATTTGTTGTGGTGGGGTCAACGGTCGCATTTTGCTTATGTTCTCTAATATGTAGTGGTCATGCGCTTTCTGGTTCCAACCAAATTTCTCAAACTTTCCATTATCAGTGGTCCATTCCATTAGTAGGTTAGTACTCTTGTCCATCAATACTTTGTAGAAGAAAGTCTCCAATAGTATAGTTTCACCTTTATTTTCTCAGTATGTGGTCGATTTCAACATAATCATTAAATCATATCATCTGAACACGAATCTATTGATGCAGTTGACTGATCGTTGGTCAAAACTTGATGCTTTCAAATAAAAAATTCCTTCCATTAATGGGCAGAGGGAGTATCATCCTTTGCTAGTATGAATCCAGTAAAGCTCATGAGGATGTTCTAACACATTTTAAGTTCTTTTAGTTGTTAAATAATCTTACATGGTGCCTTATGTTATTTGGAAAAAGGCACTGAAGGTGGCATATAAGCTATCATGGCTAACCTAAACGGCATGTTGCTTGATGCTTTTGCCCAACTGGGAACTTAGCATGGTTTTTATGTTTGATACTGAAGGGGAAGTTTTGAGCAAATAATCATAAACATATATAACATAGCTACAACTGGAAACAGGGACACTTATTCACAATTTGTGCCACATAGTCTTCTGACTTGGGATGCATTGCCAGTATTGGACGCTTGGAGACCATTTGTTTAGAAACCTACTGTATATACATTGTGTTAAAATGTTCCTTTTATTATTCCCATTCTGTTTATGGTTCATATTCTCTCTGGCACTGCATGGTACCATCATATTGGGAATCATTTGGTCAATGGAGACATAAGTTTGTTGATTTTTTTGCCACTTTGCTTCTGATTTACGGGCTAATTTTTGTGTACATAAGGGTGTCTGCAAGAGTCTTTTTAAAACTCACTCTCTAAATCATCTCCAAGAGTTCTTAAACGAACTCAGACCACAAGCTAGAGGGAGAACCAAGGCTCTCACAGTGGTGCTCTTGCTCTAGGGCTGTCTAATCCACTCCCTAATCCAATCTCTCAAGGGGGAATCACCAAGAACACAAGAGAGAGGTTGGATGGCCTACAATGGAGGAGAGAGTCTGTCCATGAGTTGGTGAGGTTCTGAAATGAGCAGGCAACTGTTGGGGAAGAAAGAGAAAGGATACAAATACCCCCTCTCTCCTTTCCAACGGTACAGTTTAAGTGCGGAGCTTCCGCACAAAACCGCGGAGGTTCTCCGGGTGCCAGACAGAATAGGACATTTGCCGGCATTACCTTTACTCAAATTCAAAATCGAAATATAGAAATGAAGTCTTCATGAATCCGAGCGCCACTAGAAAATGAATTGTTGGGGGTCACGTGTTGTCAAATTTCATTTCGTTTGCTTTCAACCTGTCCATACTCAACAAATCTCATTAGTCCCTTAATTGCATCTTCATCAATATGCCAAAACCCACTTAGGGGCCTAGATGCTCTTTCACTATATGTATACAGTATTTTTTTTCTTCTTGAAAGCTAGTGGTCTGCAGGCCTGGTTCAGCCGCAGCTTCTGCCAGAGTGCAATAGGGGACTCGCATCGTTTTTATAAAAACGCTTAGCTATACAGTTCTATAGTTGGATACTGGAGGGAAATTTTGAGCCAATATCATAAACATATATGACGTAGCTACAGCTCAAAACAGGGACACTTATTCATTATATGTGCCACATAGTCTTCTGACGTGATGTATTGCCAGTAATGGAGGCCTGGAGACAATTTGTTTAGGACATACTTTATAATATTGTACATTGTGTTCAAATGGCTCTCTTATTATTCCCTTTCTGTTTATGGTTCACATATTCCTCTCTGACATTGCATGCTACCATCTTATTGGGACCATTTGGTCAATGGAAAATACTAGTTTACTGAAATTTTGCTGCTTTATTACTTCTGATTTACGAGCTAACCTTTGTGAAGCTCATTGTATTGTACAGTTTTGTCTCATGTATATTCTTTTCCCGTTCTTTTCTTTAAACATCGTTTCAGTCATTGATGACGCGACATGTGAACAAAGGCTTTGGGATATAAGAGATCGTGGTGACAAAAACTTCTACATGTGCCAAATCAGCAAAGATTTTACAATAGATGCGTCATTTAAAGGAAACATATCACGTTTCCTAAACCACAGCTATGAGGCCAACTGTAGACTCGAAAAATGGTAATACTGTGTTCTTGACCCCCATTCCACCCCCCACCCCCCCACCCCACCCCACACGCACACGCACACAGCAACAAAAAAATCATTATATATCATGTTCCTGATTGTTTCAATGGGCTTTCCAGGCTGGTTGACGGTGAGACAAGAGTTGGTATCTTTGCCTCTCATTCCATCAAAGTTGGAGAGCCCTTAACTTATGACTGCAGGTATTCCAGACAATAATTTTGATTTATTCCGCTTATAAAGAGGACATGCATTCTTAATTGAGTAGGCTATTGTATATTTTCTTGCAATGTCGAGAAGCTGTAGGTTTATAAAGATGTATATTTGGTAACAAGAAAATGCCTCCCTGCAATCATCTTATTCCAATGACACATGAAGAAATTTGTGAAATCTAGTTTGGGAAGGCATTGAAGTGATCAAACTAGCATCTGGGTTCTTCATCATGTTTTCAAGTGAGCAATAATTTGCCCATCTGAAATCTCAGGTCTTAGAACCATTTCTGTACTTTTTGTTGTGGTAAATCACAACTCTAAACTTTAGTACCAGAGACTTTGATATCTTGTTTTATTAGCTTTCTGGAGGTTCTTTTGCTCTATGACTTGCATGCATCATGAAGCCCCTTTTGCAATGGTTTGGTCATGTGAAATTTTGAATAAAGCGTACAAACATAGGCTAGGATAGGAAGATTTGACTTCTCTTTTAGTTTAAACTGCTTTAATACTTCTCAATGATGCTATGGGTGGCCCATTTCATGTGGCTAAATGATTGTGGTAGATGTTTCAACATTTTGTCCTTGAAATCAAGATAACTATTTGTTGGTTTCGCAAAAGGGTCTGTACCTAGTAGGTGAAGCGACCATAGTAGCACCTCATGTCCTGGCTTTGGCCCCCGTGGGAGCGAATTTAAACAGGGCTGGGTTAAAAAAACATCCATCTTCGGCTGTGTTCTTGAGTTATGCGTGTAACCAATCTGAGTCACTTTCAGCGAGATACAAATGTCTGCAGACATGTGTCCTAGGCGCTCGGTGGCACATCCAGGGCAGCCAAGACTTTGGGGTGTTTCTTGGCCTGTGCGCGAGAAGCTTCTTCTTGGTGCAATGCCGTGGGGGCGGTCCTTTCCCCCACAGATCGAGTTTTCTTTAACTATTTGTTGGTTTCTGGTCTCAACTGTTACTGCCTTGGGTTCGCAAACCCAGACATTGGCACACTTTTCCTCTGTTTTTGTTAGACCAGGATTATATTCGGAGGACATAGAGCATCTTTTTATACTGAACTGTGTAGATTTTATCCTCTTTACTTCGAGCACCAATTATTTGCTTGCTTTTCTGGTAGGTTTTTTCATTTTGGAGACAAAGTGAAGTACCATTGCGAGGCATTAAACTTCCAGGGATACCTGGGCAACCAAATAAAGAACCCAGCTCAGAACGCTCTTGCAACTGCAGCACAAGGGAAGTTGCGTGAATGTTCTCCCACAGAACAAGGCAGTTCTGCTCCAAGATTGAAGCCAATAAATCATTTGTTACCCTCGACCAACTGTATTGAGGTCTCTTTGAACCTGAGAAGCAAAAGAAACATAAACCGGCTATGCTGGGCTGACAAGAGAAAGAGAACATCCCTCATGGCATCTCCAGCAAGCATGCGAACATCGGTGAGTGAAGGTCATGCTGCGGATATCTGATTGCCCTTCCCTTGCAGCTCCTGCAGAAAAAGCAGGCGCTCATCCTGTGTAATAATGTCATGGTACATGCATTTCTTTTGGAAACAATCCTTTCACATTGCTCATCTATGCTTTTGTAACCTGCAATATCTATGCTTTTGTAACCTGCAACTGCAACATGCTTTATTCGATCTCATATGGAACTATCAGTTTGCAGTTGGTAGTTTGCAGAAACCATGTACCCAGATCTCTTCTATGCAAGTGATGCTATCATTAAGCGTTTTCATAGGAAGTTTTCTGCCGGCCACCTGCTCCATATATATATACACCCACAGCGAGCTACGGTGTTATTATTTCTTTATATAAATTTGGTCAAACTTGAGATGCTTTGATTCTTCAATAAAATTGGAATGACTAGTAAATTGGGATGGAGGGAGTATTTCCCCTCTAATAAAACTAGCGTTGAAGTGAACTGTTTTTATTTGTTTCATGTTCAGGGTGAGCTTTTTTGTGCTCTTTCATTCTGAATTATAAATCGTTTTGGATTTTTTAAATACAAGTTTTTGCTACGCATCTAAATATACACTATGAGTTTGATCGGTTGCTTATATTAATCTTAGCCTGAATTGGACTCGTATGCAGTAACCTAAGAAACATACGAGTATTTGGTTATTCTGCACAGGCAAACCGTGTAAAATTGTATTTCATTGTTTATATTGTCTCGCATGTAGTCAGTTGTGTTCTAGTTAAGATCTCATGTTTTTAATAGGGTTATGAGGGATGGGAATCATTTTTTATACGTATCGGATTGTGCAAGACTGGTGGCCAAATTTGGCTACTAGCTAATGCAACATTGGACCTACTTTGAGCATTGTGCAAGCTTGCATAAAAGCTTTTATGTAGTTAATCAAACACAGCAAACTACACTACACAAGCTTAGATATAAGCTAATAAACAACTTATAATTTAAGATGGGGTGTCTTCTTCTTATACCTGTTCGTTTCAAAAAAAAGATGGAGGGTGTAGCTTTTTAAGAGGAGTTTTTTTTTCGACAGCATCATTTCCTTGTAATCGGGCAATTCAGTGGGATATGTGTAAACTTTGAAACTATTATGTTCGGTTCGAAAATAAAAAGGAGAACACTATCTTCCGCTGAAGCCTGAAAGCTTGAATTCATCCTAATAATTGTCCGTGACACGGATTAAAAACGTTTTGCTCTCATGGGCAGATGGGCTGCCTTGTGCGATGAGCCACAAAGCAAGCTGGCGTTCTACTCCATGGTGGCAGGACACCGTGTCAAAGGGTTTCTACACTTTGGTTGCCGTGTGTTTTGGGATGCAAGAACCGAACCTCGAATTTTTCTATATCTATATCTAATAATAAAGAGGCAAAATTTTTAGCCATTTTTTTTTGTCCATCTATTTTTTTCGTCCACCTCCCCTTAACTATCAGTAGTCGAGTGTTTTTTACTGTCCAGATTTATATATATAATAACCCGTGCTCATGCGAGTTAGAATAGCTTTTGTCTAGCGTAATACGAAGTCCGATTCCAAAACGTATGGATCATATATGTGATCCGGACTCATAATCGAAATCCAAAATAGAACTCTACGATTCTAAGTAACTGAATATAATAGAATCTTAATCCTAATATATATACCTTAATATTAAAGAGGTGAAATTTTTGCCATATTATTTTTTCTGCCAACACTCCCCGCTATTTTTCTTTTTCCGCTCCAGTCTCGGTCGGTGTCCGTGTTCCATGTGTTTTTTTAGAGTTGTTTCCGTGTGTTGCGTTAGTTCCTTCCACTTTTTTTTCGGTTTTGTCTGTATGTTCCGTTGGTTTGTCTTTTTTTTTTGTTTTTTTGTTCAGCTTGGTTTTTCAGTTTCCGTTTTTTTTCTTCTGGTTTTTCTTTTCTGATTTTTTCGCTGTTTTCTATTTCTGATTTTTTTGTTCTGTTTTTTATCAGGTACAACTTGGACGCACACAACCTACACACTGGCACACTCCATACTCACACCACATGCACACACACGTGTACGCGTCCGTACGCATGTAAATAAGAGATTGGGAGGCTCTTTAGCCTTCAATGTGCGGGAAACGCGCAGTACCACCGAACGCGTACACATGCGTGTACCCTAAATTTTATGGAAAAAATCGAGAACAAAGGTGCAATACCAGGGTTTGAACCCTAATTTTGATCTGCTTATTTTTTTGTTCGATTTATGTTTGTTCTACTTGGTTTTTGTTTCCGATTTTTCCCCACCAGGTTCTCCAAGCCAGTAGTTTTAAAATGCAACATTATGGCCCTTTAAACCATTGATCTTTTCTAAGGAAAAAAGATTCCCACCAAATTATTTTATAGTTTTGATTTAAAAGAATGTTCAAATCTGAATTAACAAATGGTCCAAATGAAACTGTGAACTAACATTTTGAAAAATTTGTTACCTATGGTTTATCGTCTGATTTCTTTATACCTAATGTTAAAGAGCCAAAAATTTATGCCTCTTTCTTTCCAATCCCCGTACAGTCATCGCATCCGTCTTTTTATGTTTCCATAGAGCATCTGCGATCGTTTTTGTCGTATTTCCCTTACGTCTGCTTCTCTATGAGCGGTCGTGTCTTTTTTTCACTTTCTGTTCCGTTCACCATTTCCTACTTTTTTATTTTTTTATTTTATAGACTAGAGTATCTAAGTTTTTTTTATTATAAATACAAAAACAAATGCTTGATTTTTTCCTAATAAATAAATATTTTGACCACTAAATTGTTGGTGTAGTTCTAATAAAAAAAACTTATTACTATCAAAACATAGATTAGCTGATGGTCTAACTAATTAAACCGTGAATTGAAATTTTGAGGAGTTAGTTGTTAGTCTAATCAAAATAAATCTATCTCCAAGTTGTATGCATATACCTACATAATCTTTGACAAGGGCTGTCATGTGAAAATGGCTGAATTTTTTACTTTTTAGCCCTTTTTTCGAAAGTTTGTCACAAATAGACTCCTGGCAGAAAGAATTCAGAAAATGGACTAGCTCGGCGCTTGGCGCTCCACCTTGGCAGCCCCTACTTCAACAAAGAACGAGCCATGGCAGGCGGCGGGCATCTCGGCAAGGCTACTCTGTTGAGCACTGTGACAAAATGGCGCCAAAGCTGGGCATGGTCGGCAAAGTGAAACCAATACTACCGAGAAAATACGACCGGCTTCGCCAAACTCTCAAACCGACGCGAATTAGCGAAAACTTAATATAAGTTTCGGCGTGAACTTTGAGATATGAAGTCAGCCGGTTAGCCTGGTTTGGGAGATACAAGCAAAGTGGGTACACGCATGGCGACATGGTGCCGTCTTTCTTGTGGAAGGAGGAGAAACAAAGGAAGTTCAAGAGGGAGTGGAAAGAGAGGGATCATTAAACAAACTTTGTTCTACATAAGATGAGATACAACTTTTATTTAGGTTCCAGGGCCAGGCAAATGCTAAGCACAGCTTCAAACCAAGTCAAAGTAGCATCACGATAAAGCTTAAATTATCCTTTTGATCTATTGAAGCATTTTCGCCACTTGCTCAACATGAACTTTTCATAACTTTTGTTGTAGAGTTCCTCTAGAGTCATTTATTTGGGCAAGGTTGCAAGGTTCATTTAATGACCAATGTTTCCATTCACTTAACAGGGCAATTCCAACAAAGATGTAACTTATTATTTCATGTAACTTCTTGATTCTAAACTTAACAGGACAATTCCATTCTACATTGATCCATGGAAAAGTTTCATGAAGTTTGGAATCAAGAAGTCACATGAAATGATAAGTTACATCTTTGTTGGAATTGCCCTGTTAAGTGAATGGAAACATTGGTCATTAAATGAACCTTGCAACCTTGCCCAAATGACTCTAGAGGAACTCTACAACAAAAGTTATGAAAAGTTCATGTTGAGCAAGTGGCCAGAAAATGCTTCAATGGATCAAAAAGGATAATTTAAGCTTTATCGTGATGCTACTTTGACTTGGTTTGAACTGTGTCTTAGAGTATTTGCATGGCAGTGGAACCTAAATAAAAGTTATAGCTCATCTTATGTAGAACAAACTTTGTTTAATGATTAAGAGCTAGATCAGCTTTGAAGCAAGTCAAACCGAGGCCCAAAGATTGAACTCAGTGCTGTTTTGAAACCTCGAAAATCTGGCTTAAGTCCGGGATGACTTTTTGTGTTTGAGTTTTTTACGTACCCCACTTTTTGAACCTTGTATTCCCAAACCATGCCTAACCAGCTTCAACTTCATATAAGCAAAGTTGGAGACCCTCATGTAGCTCAAAAACTTATATTAGTGAAGCATTTTCGCTAATTCACGCTTGGCTTGAGAGTTTGAGGAGCCTAAGTTTGTGTTTCACCAGATTTTTGTGAGTATTGGTTTCTTCTTCTATTTGAACTTTGACGACTGTGCTCAGGTGCTGCAGGTTGCGTGGGCGCCATCGCCGCCAGGCGGTTTCATGCAGCCACAGTTTGCCGTGCTCAAGTCCAGACCCAGACCCCCTCTTCCACTCTCCTCTCCCTTCCCTTCCTCTCCTCCTTCCACAAGATTCGGCACCATGTCACGCCGCCATGAACGCCAAGTTGTCGCCAAAGTCAATGATCTGATTCCTCCCCACGCCGACGCCGAGTGAAGCTCAAACCAACAACATGAAATACTCCCCCATGCCCAAATTAGCCAGACGGAGTTTCCAGCACCAGAGTGGCTTGCACCGAGATGTTCACCGCCACGTTCGCGGCTGAAATTAGGGGGCTCAAGGCGCCAAAGATAGATGGCGCCGAGCTAGGGTCCATTTTCTGAATTTTTTCCGCCAGGGGTCTATTTGTGAGAAACTTTCGAAAAAAGGCTAAAAAGTAAAAAATTCGCTGAAAATGGAGAGGGATCTGCATCATAATCATGAATGGATAGACCAACACTTGACACGACAATAACTAACTACTTATCAAATTTAATCAGATATTAGAATTACATATTTTTATGGGTTCTAAAAAGAA